CCGCTTTTCGACACGCAAAACATATTCGCATCGCGTGTGAATTTTAAACTGTCAGCCACGGTGAATAACTAATGACCATAATGGACCTTGAATACCCGAAATGTAATTATCGTTTAAAACAAACATAGGCAAAGTTTAAAATTTGTTTGTTTATGCTTTCTTTATTTACCGAAAATTATGCCCAGGGAGGAAGAATATTTGGAAGAGAAGATCATTTAATATTTAAATGAAATAGTAGGGATTAGATATTCATATAAGTATATTGAATGACCTACATGGATACAGGCTTCTCTCATCATATGGATTTGTCGGTTGGGGTATTTTAAATCTAATTATCAACAACATGTTCGTGGCACCACATTTCGGTGACCATGTGATTGACTGCTATCTCGCAAAGTCACCCTTTACGTAAAAGAATTGAATGATCGATACTTTACGCGACCACGACATGCCAAATAGGAGAGTAAAGTTGCTTTTGTTTAAACGTCTATGAATCCAATAGCGCAAGATAAACTCAGCGTAACAGAGCATGTTAAAAATAAATATAAGATAAATGTTAAAAACGTTTATTGTATAATTGGAAGTAAATAAATTAAAAAAAAAAAAAAAGCACGATCATTACGTACTCATAACCAAAGTAAATTATTCAGTAAGTAAAGCATTGCCACTTTAAGGTTTATTAAGCATAAACAAGCAGTGTCGTCCGAACGCGTATCGACTTTGTGTTTCGAAATGGAATAATGAAAAAGTTGCTCGTTAAGGAAACATGATGTTTGCCGTATTGAAATTATTTTATCATATTACGGCAAGGTTATTGTTTAAAGCGAGCGATATTATCCGAGGCGAGGTCTGGACTCCCGGGGCGGTCATTGTGCTCCTATATGGCGAATGTCAAAAGCGTCGTCTTAATTATCGGGCGCGGCCATACAATGCGTACTCGATTGCGGCGAGATAAGCGCCGTGTATCTATCCGAGTCTTTATTGAATGCGTAGCCGGAGCCGCAGCCCACTTGCTGCCTTAATAATAACTTCAAACGTATGTCGCATTGTATCTCTTATTATTCCGATCTAAGCCCATTGAATTGAGATAAAGCGTGTTTGAATGCGTTATACGCCTCAAGAAAAACGACGGAAAATTCAATTATTGCGGAATATCCAATGACGTATATTGTTTATGATCGAATACCATATTAATGTATGTATTATGTAATAACTATCTTGCATTGTAATTGCAATGATATCCTAATAACAATGGGAACAAAAGATACGTCCTACAATTATCTGGGCAAGGTCCAGTAAAACTTCTAGACTAAATATTTCAGTTTTAAAATTAAATTTTGAAATGTTACTAACTCTAACGTTCTGCTAATAATTTCCGAGGTACTTATTTATTTCCTTGGGCAAATAATAATAGTGGATTTTCAATTTCTCTGGAAAATCATGTGTTAATAACACTTTTTTGTCTCTTGCTCACATTTTCCCACAAAACAATGAATAGCTTAAGTCACGCGAGACGAGATGTAGGTGTATTATGTTGTTGTAGAACCGCTTAATTACTCGCTTGTTATAGTTTTGTCAAGGTGAATTTTTCAATTGAGTTCGTTATTTCAGTTTATGCATTTCCGGTCAACGCATCACTATAATCGCATTTTTAATACATTTCTTACATTGAACTAGCCCAATAGTCCCAAATCAATTGATTTAAAAAAAAATCTGCATTCGAATGACTTCTACAAAACATTTTAGAAAGCCATTATTAATTATTTAATTTTATTTTTTGCAATACACATGTGATAGTCAATGGGTTTAATATAATTTATAAGATCTTTAGTTTCATGAGGAATACAAAAAAGGTTGTAAAAAATAAGCGGTTATGAAAGTGAGTCGTTGAAGGCAAACACGTAATGCAACCGGGAGCAGTGAAACGGAGACGTGGCGGCTGCGGTCGGGACCCTTACCTTCACGCCGGGATCTGGCGATACCACTTTGTTAATGTTATATGGTGTAGTTATAGGTTAAGAATATCACAATTTTATTATGTGTTAATTATTTATTAATAATAAGCATCATATGAGATCAAACTTCTTAACTTTCGTTAACTTTTGAGCATATTGTCATTTAAAATATTTAAAAGGAAGCCTGATAAAACTGAATTTAAAGAAATTTAATTAACCGCTCGTGAGCTAGCACAATTCTTTATGAATAATTAAATTGAATAATAAATTTTCATTATAAATTTGATGTTATTTTTAACCAACTATGGCGAGTAAATAAGGAATGATTAAAAAATTATTGTCTTTGACAAACCTTACAATAAAACGCACAATATAAGATAGACAATATACGATATTGTAAGGTATAATGTATAAAAATAGATGTAAGAGCGTTGATATTTATAGCATTGAATACATAAAGAAATAGTTTATAAAATCACTATGAAATCATTTTAAGATCATGACAAACGCGTTATCAGTTCACCTGATGTAGAGTGACTACTGCAGACAAGCATACTAGTAGATGCGTTGCCACGTTTGAGGACTAAGGTGAAGTTCTTCACTGCCTGTAGTTATACTAGCTTCTTTATTCTTTAAACCAGATACAGCGGTGCACTACTCCATGGCACTCTTGTTTGCTTAAACACAGAAATGCTTGAACGTGTTAAATTAAAAACAGGAATAGAGACTCGAATACAGTTTAATTACTCCAGGAACCCAGACAGAATCAAAGACAATATCATTTTATAATTCTATTTTATTACTGGCTATAATAATCATTCATAACTAGCAAGAAAATGAATACAAAGAGCTATATTAACAATAATAATAGCTCCGGGCTCAAATGCAGAAGGCGGTGCTCTTCGATACCGGCCGCGTTGTCCCGCCGATTTCTTTACCTTACTCCTGAACCCTTGGCCATTTGGTTTTCCCTTCCGAGGGATTCTGTCTGTTTGGGTTTTTATATTATATATATATATATATCTAAATGAGACGAGATTACTACAAAATATTCCAAATAATAAAAGTTTATTACAGATATTAAAATTCCATAATATTATAAAAACAAAAAGAATTAATAATTAAGTAACTGATAGATAAGAGTAATATAAATTTTAAAAAATGATGTTGTCGGCTTATTGCACTAGTGTTACTACAAAATGCTAACACTTGAATATGAAAAGACTTCCAATTAAAATGCGTTCAATAACATCCAACTCAATAATTATTTATTTTTATTGTGGGCAGAATGAGATAGTAAAGTTTAAATTAAGATATTTCTCGAAAACCATCGGGGAGTTATTTTACGACTGTCCGTATTTCAAATGCACGGTTAGGCTTTCTAACATCCAAGAGAGGTAAACATCCGGCCATCTCTGTAAAGGGACTGCGTTTAATCAAATAGCGACAAATCCCTCGTTTCTCTTAGTGATTTAATATGTGAACTCGTTGATGTCTTTTATTTGCATAAAATTACGAGTGTCCAATCTTTATATCTCTATCATGATGAAATGAAATTATTATTTTTTTTTCAAAAATGAGAACATTTTAGAAATTTATTTTGGAAGTAGACCATTACCTGAAATATTAAAATTACTATTTTTTTTATTTAAATTCTAGAGCAGTTATTCATATGTAAAAATTTCGAAAAAATATTTCTTATTAAATACTCGCTGTATAAGGATCCGGCAGACGTTTCTTTGACCTATCCTGCAGTTGGCGCGATGATTATCACTTCGGACTTTTTACGGTAAAAATTACATTAATACCTAAAGGATCACAGCAAAGTTTTGAACCATCGTATCGTCTCAAAAAAACACATATTTAATTGCGTGAATATGATCACAATCCGTCAAGTCGTTCAGGAGTTACACGATCACTAATAGACGCATCAACGATTATATATAAAAATATAGTATTTTAGCGTTGTATGCTATTTTAATATAATAAAAATATATCATATTGTTAAATATAACAAATTACTTAATATTCTAAAATCATTCCCTTTTTTGGATCTATGAATACTCGTTATGGCTCATATCTAGTGTGTTACGACCCTAAATAATTATAGTCTGTAACCTCATGCAATCTTCAAACTGTTTAACACTAGTTTCTATTCATGGGTATATAAGCCAGCCAAAAAGCCTGATTATGATTCTGTGATATCTAACCCAATTTATTTACCTAGCTTATAAACCAACCCGTCACTGTATAATATTGTTTTGTTTCAGTTTGATTTGTTTTGTTGGGTGTAACGGAAAATATTGGCGTTGCTAATTCATCTGCACGCGATACACCATGCGTACGGACTAACGAGACCTTGACTACCGTATGATAGTAGAAAATTTACTAGTGCGAGTGCGCTCAACAATTCGCCTGCCCAGCGTAGGGCACACAGACTAAGGAAATAAACATCCCATTCTTGGAAGGACCTAGTCCAGTAGTAAACTTAAAACGCTATGATATGATGATGCGATATTTTTGTTATATAAAGTAAGGGTATTACTACACCAATCAATCGATGCCATTGATCTACATGGATCGGTGTCGATCGATTGATACTGGTCGATAAAACGTTGTTGAATCATCGATCGACGTCGATCGATTGGTGTGGTATAACATAGGTTTTATTATATTATTATTGTGATTTAGAATGGTGCTTCGCTTGTACTCTTTATGTTAAATACCTAATTACACATCAATTAGAAATAAGTGATATGTAATGAACGTATCATAATTTATTTCTAAACTGTATAAAATTATATATAAATATTAAAACCAAACAGGTTAAGCCGACTGCTCCATTTACTGTACAATGCTAGGTGTGATATAAATTAAAAGTGTTTTATTTCTCAGCTACGTATCTATTATTTTTATAATTAAATAGATTATTTTTAATGATTCATATTTACATAAAGTTAGAAATAACAATTTGTTGGCTTTTATTTGTTCAAATGTTTTATTACAATTAAGATGGTGTATGAAAATTTAGGAAATGTGACTTACCTTAACAGTTTGATTCTTAAGGGGCTTGTCTGGATCGTGGATGTACTCAAGCGTGATCCCATAGAACTGGCCTTTGTTTATGTAGGTAATGCGGTCGTCTTCGCGCCGCTGTGAACTGCTGCTGGCCGTCTCGAGGTGGTACTTGAATCCGTACGGTGAAAACCTGCGGAAATACGAACAAATAACTTCACCGCTAACAAAGCATCTATTTTGATACAGATGAGTAGCCGCGATAGCGAGGCCGTGCAACGCCTCGTACGTATACAAGATCGAGATAAATCTTAAGAGTTGCACATTACGAAGTATCACACAGTAGGTAAGTCGTTGCAGTGACCATTTGTTGGAATATAAAATGACCAACGAGAGCTGGTTTAAGTGAGAGACATTTAGAAAAAGTGCGATTTCTTCTTTGAGATACGAATCAAGAGATACATGTTCACGACAATAAAGTTTCCATGAAGTGAAGCAATAAAAGTGAGCAAAAAGTGGAAATCTTAATTGTGCTGCGCTCGAGGCTTGACGGCGGCGTCATTACATAAAGGCGTGGAGATCCAGTTCGCGCTACGTAATGAAAAACTACGTTTTCTCGTGATTTCCTACGCGTGGGATCGGCGGAAGGAAAACCCCGCTAAATTAGTAGCGATCGCGTGCCGCGGCTCGTTCGCCATTAGCCACGCGTGAATCGCAGCTGCTACAGCTTGTCGCCATCGCAAGCCCACGCGACACTTGCACAAACAGAAAATTGAACTAGGAAACGACAATGTCATTATCTATCCGCTCCATAGTACCGGACCCTACGAGTACTTATGTAACGCGATAAGTAGTTATAAATCGCTAAAGAACACCCAATCTGCTCATAAATCTCCCAGTAGATAGCTAGTTCGCATCGACCCAGCTCTTGACTTGCGGTTACACCATTACTTAAAGCTTATTGAAAACAATTTGGTAAACAATCCCGCTGATGTTTGCGATTTAAACCGAGCCTGGGCAGATAAAAGCCGTGTAATGCAAACTCGGAACGACATTGACGGATCGGTCGCTCAATACTTGCCTATCTGATTCTCTCTAAGTTATTCCAAATGTAATTTCCATTGGTGACGTAGACATTCATTGTTATTTGGGTTGTGTTATTATTCTTTGTTTACGTATCGAGTGATGGGTTGTGATTAGGTTTAACGTAGCTATACCATCCAACAGCCTACCAAAAGTTCACTGCTGAACATAGGCCTCATATATATCTGTCATAGTTACCACGCTTGGCAAGTGGGCTGGCAACCGCAGTTTGTTTTTATTCAGTTTCTCTTTGTCGCCTCTTACGACACCTACGGGATGATGTGGGGTAGTGTATAATATTACACCGCAGCTACACGACTCAATCTGCATAAGAGCTTATAAGATCATTTATATAGTGAATTCTTATTGAGACCACTTTTATATTAATTAATTATAATAAAACATAACTCATATCAAGACATCTGGTTTCGGCAGGGTTGTATAAACCATTTAAATAAGCTTTAGAAGGCTTTTGATATTGCCACCTGGGAGCTATAGCAGCCTACAAGAGATCTTGGTATCCGATAATAAATAAAGCATTGTTTTCGAATGAGCTTCATTACAAATTTCAGCAACGTGATGACCGAAAAAAGACACTTCCTGCGTGAAGGCAAGGGTCTTTCATGAATAAATCAATTGACGAGGCGCGGAAATTGATGAGTGCGCAAAAAGCCTTCGGAACGCAGCAACCAACAAAGTGCTTGCAATAAAAACGTTTGTTGCGATAAGAACTGGCGTCCTGCGGAGTCCGAGCGCTACTCAGCCAAATTAGATGCGCATAAATACGCATCTTGTGAACATGGTGCTGCATCAACTGTGAAACTTCAAACCAGCCCAATATACGTAGCCACATTGATATAAAATTGCAATATATTTTAAATCTACTACTGTTATAATCATATCAAGCTATGCTTATTTGATTACGATAAGCACCGGATATTGGATGTACTTAATAAAAGCTTTATAAATACAACGACATCCAACGTATGTATTTCAAATAAGTAATTAATTAAATTTAGTCTTTTACTCTTAATAACTTCAAAAACGTTGACGTCACATCATTTTAATTTGACCGCGTATATTTATTGCTACGTAGAATTGTATTTTATATATTTTCATTTTAATTAGACTTAATATGTTTACAAAATAATAAATTTTGTCTGTCAGGAGCCGCTTGTAAATTGGTAACAGTGCCGTTATATGCGCATTCCAGTCTGTCTCGTCTCCACCGTATCAATCCTTGATGGAAATTGAAGGACCATTGTATGGCCCGAGACGAGACGTATGTCCTAACTGACACAATGCTGTAAATCGTAACTACGTATCTTAGCAGGCTCCGCTTTAGAATAACTCCTGGTGTATTAAATTCTACTTGTTTTAAAGTAAATACAGCCTTCAAATGTTTTTCATAGATAGTTAATTATAACTTTTTAAGATATAAAATCAGTAAACATACATTAATAATTACGCGCAGATTAGAAAAAATGCTACGGATGAATCACGGCAGGCGGTTGCCGGGTTAATGAGAACTCTTACGGTGTAATTGCAGCGCGTTGATTGCCGGGTGAGTTCAGACAAGCGACGCACGTAGGGTTTCAAAGTACAGGCATCGCTGCTACATGATGATAAGAATAAACGTATTTTCCACTGCCCATTACAAATATATTCCGATAAAAGTTAATTTTTAGTTAATTAAGTTTTGCGAAGAAAGAAGCGTTTTGCCTGAGAATATAAGTAGCATAGTATATAGTGATAATAGTACTTAAGCACTTCACCTTTTGTATAAAGTATTAAAATATATCTTTTATATCCTTAAGTCCTTATGATTATTTTTTATAGGATAAGGGTGACAAACAAGCATACAGTCCACCTGATGGTAAGTGGTTGCTGTGGCCCTATATATACATCTATTCTCGGTTACAAATCAAAATGCAGATACGTTGTCACACGTGAATACTAAGATGGAATGCCTCGTTTCCAGTAAATAAGGCCTCCGGCTTTCTACACTCACCATGCGAAACACAGCAGCATTAAGCTGTTATTTTACGATGGTATTCTGTGAGAGCGTGGTACTTCCCCGGTCGAGCCGACCCATTCATGCTACAACTATACCTACTACTAATATAGCTGCAGCATGGCTCTACCACGTAAACTTGTTTCAATAAAGAATATTTTCAGTAAGATAGGTAAGTAAGAGTAAGATAATACACTCACTCATGTGTAACGTTCCTTTCCACCAATCCATCTAGGACAAAATGTCCAACTAGATAAGTCCAACTTCAACCGAGAAATCAAATGGAAGAAATCAAATGCTCCACGTTTCCCTGCATGATATACTTCATAATATGGCTACCCGCAGTAGAACCAGAGAAACCGATATAGCATTACAGATTAAGCTGTAGTGCGCATTAGCAAGCTGATTTGGCAATAGCCCGGCTGTATAGCTCGAAGAACGTATGAACTTATAACGCTCTATATTATAATGATAAAATAAAGTAAAGAAGATTGACGAAAAATACGTTGACAATCAAAACGTAATCGATCATTTACCTTCTGAATTGTACTGACACAAAGTCATTATGTTGTTTAAAGCTTACAAAACACACCTGAATAATAACTGAATGAGCCTATCTCAGTACACTTCCAGGCCAATATGATAATTTTATTGGCCTTGTAGCTTCGGTTCGTAATTCATTTAGGCACCCCATTACACCGTATTAGAAGGCTTTTTGGCGTGATAACCACATGTGTATACATTAGTTGATTAAGCTACCACTTTAAGGAAGCTGTTTTCTGTGTTGAACATTGAATGCGTAAACAGACATTCTATTGGGGCATCAAGCCGGCCGGGTGAGCACTTGCCGAGTACTTAACTGGACGGTAAGTAATAGTTCAAACATTTGTAAGGGCAACGAAATACCTTCGTTGCCAAGACGAGGGATGGTAATCGACCGAAGAAACGAGTGTATATAGACTTGGAACGTTATTTGAGACAGTAGAAGCGACCAAAGTTATTTGGGCCAAATGCAAGCAAGTAATTATCGAGATAATAATGCTAATGCACTTATCATGTTGACGACTGTTTCCGCCGCGTCGGCTGTAGCCGTTGTGTAACGATTTGTACAAACGATCTCAATTTTCAATTAAGAAGGTGATTTAGTCTTCAACAAATTTAATGGTTAAAACTAAAACAAATGAATTTTAAGTATAATGTTCACCATGAAATTTTGAATTCAGATCATGCAGATATTTTGTTATGTAAATACTTTAAGTGATTTGAATATTAAAAGGTATGTGTAAAGTTTCCTATCTCGGGCTTTATAACTCTGAAGTCAGAAGAAAGCTGGGATGCCATTCTACAGCTATATTATGGTTGTAGTTCAAATACCTCGGCTCTACTTGGGAAGTACCAAGCTCTCACAGAATACCAGCGCCAAATAACAGCAGAATACTGCTGTGTTTCTTATGGTGAATATAGAGAACCGGTGACCCTTTTAACGATAAACGAGGTATTCCACCTTTCTTTTCAGGGGTGACAACGCATCTGCATTATGATTCATATCTTACGATAGATGTAGATGTCTATGTGTCACAGTATCCACTTATTAACAGATAGACAGTGTATTCGTTTGTCAACCTTAAACCAAAGGCGCTATAGTCTCATATTAGATACCTCGTGGTCTTATTTTGACTAATAGATGACGATATACCATCAAGTATAAATATCTAAATAACAAATACCTAAGTAAATATTCAGACCGGTGACGGAGAGCGGCATCAAGATTCTAAACCACCGTTATTGCGATCAATAAAAAGATGTCTTGCCAACGTGGCAATTCTAGCAAACTAGGTAGGTTTGGGACACAATGCAAAAGGTTCATGTCTAGTAACCAACTGGTTGGTGGGAAATAAGAATAAGTGTAAAATAACATAAGAGAGAAAACCTTAAAGTATTTGTTGAAACTAATTTAAAATTAACATTATTACTACTATCAGAAAAATTATGTGCAGTTCCTACTCCTGTTTCTAACATACTTCGGGAACATTACAGCTTAAATTACTCCCACTGATGAGAACAGGCCTTCGTTCTTTTCTAAGAGAGTTAGAGTTATGGAGCTATTAGTCGGCGGCGTTGCTATATTACGGCGGATATTACATTTCCTCAAAATATTTTACTCGTACTTCTTAGACATGCATGTTTCCTCACGATGTTTTATTTTGCCGACGAGCGCGTGGTAAATCAGCACTGACAGTTGCAATTGTCACGAAGTAAATAATCTCCTTTTCCAATCCTTTGTTTCTTTTTGAATGAGTATAGGTATCTATAATTTTTGATTTCATTATACATGAATAAAGAAATTCATTTAGCATCATTTTTTAAGTTTAAAAATTAAGATATACTACCCTAAAACGTACTAAAGATTCGTAACACTGTACTTACGTTCATAAAGCTTCAATCCCAAGCCCAGACAGCATGAAAAAAGTTATTATCATAACAATTTTTTAAACAATATGTTTCTCCGCCAGTTTTGTGAAGATGTATTAATATATTAGAGATAAAATAAACAAAAATATTAACGTATTCTATCTAATAAAAGTACGTATTATCATTAGAAATAGATTAACTTGCTTCGTTTTCAATTTGCTGCAAGCACGACTGACAAATTCATGATGTAGTTGTTTCTTAACTTTTTAAAGAACACACATTCTTTTGTTGTTATTTTACTTTTTATTCTTTATTTTAATTTATTTATATAGTCTTCTGTAAAATAGGAGTTCCATTATCGTAAAATCCACGCTTAAATATTAAAATGCTATTCTGCGTGACTAGTTTTGGTATTAAACAGAAACAAAGCAAGTTAATTAATATTTTGAATAAAGAACACGAATATTAAAACAATATGGAGTAAATTGAACGCTTTAGTCATTTTTTAAATGCTATATTTGATAGCGTGACAAATAATGAGAGCTAGACAAATTGTTACAAAAAGCAAATACGACGCATTTTTCAACAAAAGTATAGAAGAAGTTGGATTAAAAGGTAGTTGTCTCAGTCCCTAGGACAACTCATTACGTGGCAGCTATTCTGAGAATTAAATGTACATTTACTGCACATTGGTAAATTAGCAGTTGTTTGCCAATTGTCTTGAAAAATGTTGGATAGCATCGCTCTTCACCACGACAACATTTTTGCCAAATGAACACAATCAAATGTTTGACTACGACAGAAGTAGAGATAATGTCATCCGCCATACAATCCCAACCTTGCAGTTTCTATTTATTCTCAATAATTAAAAATATACTTTGAGATATTTGTTTTACGAACTGAAGATGCAGTGCAGAGTTAGCGTACTAATTTTATAAGAGGTTCATTCAAATGTGATCTGTATAGGTAACAAGTTCTAAGAAATCCGGGGAATCTCTGGGAAGACAATACTGTTTGGTATATACTTATAAAGAATAAAAGAGACCAAACAGTAGGTACCTATTGTTAGGTATGATGTATACATAAGCAGTATAAATGTAATATGTCTATAATATATTTATCGAGTACTAGCGATCCGCCCCGACTTCGCACGGGTGATTTCTGGATATCAACAACAGCGCCACCTACCGGGTCTAAATGTAAATCTAAACCATCTAGGGACCCATTTAACACAGAATTTTTTTTAACAAAATTGGTCAAGCCGTTATTTACTTTTAGCGAGACTAACGGACAGCAAATGATTTTATTGTATTATGATTAATATATAGAGATTATGTGTCATCTTTAACTCTATGAGTTGTCCTAATAATTTTTATTATAGTTGTGAGTTCTTCATTTTATTTCACCACGTCGGTGTCCGGTCCTATGGCTGATAAAGACGGTGTAAGGAAATCCATCACGGTTATAGGAAATGCACAAAAGATCTTACAGCCTCCGAGCAATGGCATTATAAGCGTCTGTGTATACGAGATGTACGGACCTGTGCACCCTGAGCGGTGTTGAGAAGTGTGTAAGGTGCGGTAACCACTTATAACCGTTAAAAAATTGCAGTGAGGTGAAAAAAACTAAAGCCAACTTGTATGAAATACATAAAGCCGCCTTGTAACATTCTATCCTGTCTATTGCAAACCTCATGCAAATTTATATAAACATACAAAATAAAAAATGTGTAGCTAATAAAAACAATACTTTAAACTTATTGTGTAAGTGTTATATAAAAGTTAAAGTTACAGCCGTTATATGTCCAACTGTTGGGTATAGGCCTCCTCTAATTTCGAGAGAGATTTGAGAGGGTTTTAGAGCAAGGAAATATCCGCCGCGCTGCTGTCCCCAATGCGTGTTACAACTAGCGCATAGCCCCTGAACTACCACGGGTCAGTGTTATATGTATGTACTATGTACGTAAATACTCAAACCTTAAATAATACCACAGAAGTAGTCGTACGGTGTGTACTTGTCTTTAACTAACACCTCAAACGTATGAATAGTATGTAGTCATTTAATTAAAATGCAACAGAATAAATTAATTTATATAAATTGTTGTAAATTAATTTTATTATGACGTTTCTTACGCGTGAGGTATGTAACAAAGTATTTCATAACCACATATAATATTAAGATACATGGTGTTAATTATCACGTAATAATTATTAAAAGCGAAAATACAGATATAAAATTAACGTACCGGAGAAATCAAAGTGATTTTTTATTACATGTGATATAATATATATTTTCAATGAGTCGACTGTAATATTTACTTTGCAACAAATAACGAGGCTGGTTTTATTAAATCAAAATGAGCAAGATATAAAATTATTATGATAAGGTTTTTAAGATTTTATGTAAACATAGTTTTGTGTGATTTTGACATACTGAATTAGTTTTTTATATATTAAATTGTTATTCACGGTAACACTGCGTGTATTCAACGTTCAATATTTTTCCGCCGCGCCGTATCGAAGATAGTTGGAAGGTGCAAAGTGGTCGGTCAATACGCGCATTTGGGTCGCGGGATGTTTCCTTCTATTCTCACTAACAGGTACAGGTACAACACTAGGTAGACGGTAATCAAATTATTTTAAGTGTTTACAATTACCATTCACAGACATGTCGTGAATTTTTCAACTAACAGTTTTATCAATAATTCATCACATTTAATGCTAAAGGTGCTACTTATTAATAATTGAATTATTACATTGATTGCTATATTTTGTAACAATAAATATGAAAATTAAAAAAAAATACTTTTAAACTCTAACTAATTAATAAAACCCTAACATATATTTGATAAAGAAAAAAGGAGTACATTCTTAAAAATTGAAGAAACGCTTAAGTTTCTATTAAATAGGTTCCTTACCTTGATGTACTGTTATTTTCCCGATGTCTCTGACATTGTAAACAAGCCTACCTGCGGCCTTATCGCACTCCGGTTTTATCGTAAGGCTCGTTACGAGTGCTTCTGTACTTTTTTATAAATATGTTCTATAAAATTGATAAGTAATGATATTACTTGGGTGTTGTCGCCGAAATTTATTATTTATTTAATTTATTCAAACTTTGTTGCACAAATAGTACAAAGATTTAACGTTCCTTACTAGTCAACCTGTAAGTAAGCAGAGAAGTCTTTGGAAGTACAATAAGATATATGAAAAGATAATGAAAATCAAATTAACCAAGAAAAAATCATCGTTTAGCAACATTTGTGTAATTTTTATATAAAAATTATAATAAAATAGAAAAAAATACTTGCAGATGATGGCGGTTTAAGAGAGTCCATCCACAGGCCTAGGCGACTATGGTAAGGGTATGAAACACACTTCGACAGATTTTGGTATATATAATCTCGCATAAATGTAAACGAGATTATTTACCGCCAAAAATATAAGATGATTCCGGCATTCCCCTATTTTTCCGGCAGCTGGCTTTTACAACAAAATACTATTATAAAGAATCGGACCGCGTTTTCGAACATTCGAACTCAAAAGGTTTTGGGTTCGAATCCGCCATTCGACTACTGTCGTGAACCACTCATACAAGCATTTTCAGCTTACCAGTGGTGATTAAAGGGAATATTAGTAATTTTATAGCATTAGATAGCATTGCTAGTATTTTTGTATAATTTTTTTATAGTATTGAAATATATTTTATGTAATTTAACTCTAAGATAATTTTATTGGCATGTGCAATTTTAATAATACTTTATGTATCAAGAAATTATTGGGATTGCTTTTAATATTACTTTATCTTTATCGTTATTCCTTCATGCGATATTTTTCTTAACACTGCAGATCGTAATTTAAGTCCCCGCAATACTGCTTACTAGTGCTGAGTTTACTGCGGTCCCTGTCATTAATATGCGTGGAAATAACACTGTATGTTTATGGTAAAACAGGTAGATTCTTTGAGTACATTTACTCGAATGAATAATGTTAAGGCTTGATTTGTAATTAGTAACTTGAATCTGAACGTACTTAAATAATCTAAAGTATTGTAGTAAGATTAAATAAGTCATTAGGCACTGAAATTGAATTATTTATAAAATTATTTTATTTCATTGCCTAATCTTATACCTGGTAGAGTCACACTGCAGCTATATTATGGTTGTAGCAAGAAAAGGCTAAGAAATATAGGGAATGAACAACGCATATCAGCGTGGAATAGCAGCTTAATGATGCTGTTTTTCGTATGGTGAGTATAGACAACCAGATACCTTTTTTACTAGAAATCAGGTATTCTATCTTAGTCCTCAGGGGTATCGAAATCTAAACTCAATGAAGAATGAAAATGCAAATGCGTTGTCACCCCTGAGGACTAAGATGGAATGTCTCGTTACGAAGGGTGGCTACAGTTCTTGTCAATCACAATAATTTTTATCTCTTTCATAATTTTCATTTTAATCTACATATCTTTACTTACTCCGAATGTGTTTAACCTTTATTGTTATAAAATTTAATGCAGTTCAAACACTAATTTATGTTAACACAAATTTGGGTTTGAACTGCATTCAATTTGATGTAGAACTTTTGCAGGATCAGAAAAAGGATGTTGATGAAATAATTTGATCGTAGTATGCGATTCAACGTAGATTAGAATGGTAGGTACTTACAGTTTAGCTATTTGTATCTTGTCGGCGTCGTTTTGTCGGCCGAAGTCGTGCCAAGGGCGCGTGCGGGGCGGCTGCGCGGGCGAGTGGTGCGCTGATGGGGTACCTCGCCCGTCTTCACCCACGCCGGGCTGCTGGCAGATTACCGTGTACTCGAACGACTGTATGGGCATTAGTGCTCTAGTTAAACTACCTATATGCAATAATTATCCTTCAATGTTTTAAATTTTCACACATGCGCTCAATCGGCCGGCTTTTGCCTTGATTGTCTGATAAATTGTAATTTAAGATTTAATACATACCTAGAATTGTTTGACAAACTTGTTTGCAATACACAAATACAAAAAATGTATATTTTTAACATTATATATTTTATGAAATCAATAAATACTTTGTTATTTACAAAGGGTGTGATGAAAATTTGTACTTTTGTTTATTAGGATATTTAAGAAAAAGAGGCAATTTTAGCATAAGATACAACAAAATCTACACCATATTAATATTCATGTGTTATGTGTATTATAGTCATCACTAATCTCATCCGGTTAGAATAACAAACCTATTAGAAAAATCCTTACTATTGTAAATTTCAAAACAAATAAATTAAGTAACTATAATGGTTATATTCCACGTTTAAAATATTATGCTTAAATTATGTATGATAAATTATAAAATTTTAAATCGTTATAGTAGAATCACCGAGCTAACTCAAACGCTATCGTGACATATTTTTCATTAATGTTTTTTTTTTATATTATGATTCAAGCGCCACGACATTAGTTCGAATACCGGTATGGCAGGTTGAAGGCCATAGCACACGCATTTTTATTCGCATGATTAAGTACAATCATTCACAGTAGTTCCATCCCTGTATTCTTTATGCATACAAGATAACCCCACAGGTTAATGCTTACTACTTATCAGATAAAATTATAGTATGTGAAAATGTTGTTAGTGTTTGTAAAAATACTTAGGCTTAATAGAAAATGTATTCAAAGATTTATGTCACAACTTTGTTATATTATATAAACACAACTTTTGAAAGTATTTAACGGTTAGATAATATTTGATTAGTTAATTATATCAAATACATAGTATATGAAAATGTTGTTACTGTTTGTAGAAATACGTAAGTTTATTAGATAAATGTATTCAAAGATTTATATGTACGTTACATAGTTATTATCGGTAGATAAACAACGTTTCAAAGTTATATTTAGGCAGTTTTTTTTTTATAGAAATAGGGCGATAAACGAGCACACAGTCCACCTGATGGTAAGTGGTTGCTGAGGCCTATAGACATCTACATCTCTCCTCGTTTGTCAGTTGAAAAATTAAAGTTGCTTGGGCCTGTATAATGATGAAATTTCATTATTGAGCACATAGAACATTTATTTTTAATACTTAGAAACATTTTTGTACGTTTTCCACTTACTTTGTAAATGAAACACCGTATGCTCTTTAAATATTGATATTAATACTAAAATGAGTTGATTTAAAAGGAACTAATTATTATGTATGTACGTTGTTACAACTAGTACAAGAAGCTGCTAAAAATAAAGCCACATACCATCCCATATAATTAAAAAACAGGTTATTGTAAAATACTTATCTCAATAGTGTATTATATGTTATGATTTGTGTTTTCGTTTTTATAGTTCAAATGGTGTTGGAAGTACCTAATAGTAGTAGAACAAGAAGGAATAAAATACGTGTTTATGTGACATTAAGGTACCTACTTTACGGTAGACATTGGTACCTATATTCATGTTTAGATATTTGTTAATATTAAAATTATTACAAAAAAAGAATAAAAATCGACATTGTTATCATGACATCTTAACTGGCACCTAATTTATGATAATGGTTATCATTAAAATATTAGTATAATTACGTCACCGTTTCCTAGCACTGAATGTGGAATCACACTGATATCATTAAAATTAATGACTTTAAATATAATAGTTATTTGGAATTCATTTTAAAATACGATAAGTAATTTTTAATAGGCAAAAAGTTTTTCAATTACTTTATATATTTGCAATAATCAGCAATATTGAATACAAATAAACAGCAATTGAAACATAAACATACTTTAACTGTTAGCATACCTATAATGTTAGTATTATATATGTGACATAATTTTAATTTAATTAATATAATATCTTTGTATAATCTGTTCATTTATCTGTTTATACAAGAATTATTTCTATGCCTCAGTTACACAAAAGACAAATGCTTAAACCAGATAGTATTGTTTGCAAGCACGGCTCGTGAGAGCCACGCCTTGGAAGTGTAAGTCCTTCAATAACACTTGGCTACCAACCCGATTATAGTCATGCCAATTTGTTATTTTAATATGGTACCTCAGAAATATGTTGTAAAATGGAAGGGCCTTTTAAATATGTCTTACAGAAGGTCGCAATGTCGTGACTTTATAAGTTGCGTCGATGGAGATGGAATAAATTGGATCTTTGCAGATTAACGACATATCGGATATTAAAAACAAAAACTCATGAGATTGCTTCCTTATGCGTGTTAAAAATACGTTCGTAATGGATGAATGAACCAAACGAGTTTGTTATTAGTCGATTTCTTTGTTACGATAAATACAAGATATTAATACAACAGTCAAATTACTAAACGTTATATATAATTTTTTTTTGGGTATTGAGAATCAAATCTTCAGTATGAAATCTGATTAGACAGATAACACTTAAGTATGATTTAACTATTTGTTAGGTCATTTACAAAGATGTGAAGGTGTCATTTTAGGAATCATAGTTTTGTGAATTTAGGTATCATAAATAAACAAACATATTGACCACTAGTAGGAGTGACGACTTGGTATGTTAAGCAGGAAGTCAGATGCAGGTGATTTAGAAAATTGTTTTTGTCATTACTTGGGTAAGGTCTATATTGAGCTGCCGTCACAAGCAGCTCAATATAGACCTTACCCAAGTTGTAATAATGATGGTGAAGAATTTCATAAATTATCCAAAATAACAAGCAAAATGGGTAAAATAATATGAAACAAAAAAAAAATACATCAATACAAAACAATGACAGGGCGTGAGGGTGGGCTTCTGTAGTAGTGAATATTTTTAATCATTTGACTTGTTTGCGGAAATCTTTCAATTGGGTATGTTCTATAAATACGTGAACTACTCCAGGTACATAATCGAGCTTAAGTAGAAGCTCGATTTTGTACCTGTTTTATACATATTTTTAATAACTTATGACAAAATTAATAAACGCAAATAATCAAAATATCATAAAATGAAAATATCCGCATATAAGCAAGTATAAGCATGTAAAGTGTTTATGTGTGCATGTGTATATGTGAGAAGCCCGCCCGCCCGCACCCCTGTCACACGTAGCACCGACCTGCTGTACGGCGGTGTGGTCTCGAGGCGTGACAGCGTCCGCTCCAATCCCACTGTCAGGTGAAGGCAGGTCCACGGTGAGTCCAGCAGCCGCTATCACACTTTTGCTGTGGTATCGAGGGGCTACGTAGCGCTCGCCGAACGTCGATGCCGGAGCTGGCTCTGTGTCAGCATAAGGAGGAGCACTCCGTTGCTGGTAGCCATCACCGACAAAGTATTCTCTATAATATGGCTCGCCGGCAAAGGTTGCCGGTTGGCGAGAATATTGGTCACCATAGGGAGTAGGGCTGGGAGTGCCTGGTGGTGCAAACATTTGCGCTGCGTACATCGCCGCGTCCGGTAGAAGTGAGCCGGCCGAGGATGCCCGCGATGGCACCGGTGATGGTGATCCCGCTTCGCCGGGCTCGCCGACCGCCACCTGCGGACACACGCGCCGGTTACACGCGTTCTCCCACGACAATTGTCCGCTTCGTAACGTTGACGCGTACATGCCGCGTCGAAGCACAGTTCACAGCTTCACGTACACTAAAATCGTTTTTTACACGTTCACAGAGCAAATGTACAAAATTCCATGGAAATTGCAAGGTCCTTTGGATTCGAGTGCTTGGTGCACTGGGCGGGCAGCGCTTGCCGGCCAGTCAAGGGGCGCGGGCGGGCGCGGCTAGTGCGGTTCGAGCGGTGTGCTTGGCACATCGTACGCGAACCGCAATAAATAATACATGAGTAACCGGTAAAGGAGGTGTGTGAGTGCGTGCGCGCGCGACGGCGGCGTGCGGACGTGTGACGCACCTTATGTCGCGGCGGCTTGAGCGCGTGCGGCTCGGGCTCGTCGACCACCTTGCGGCTGAGGTCCTCAGGCTCGCGCTTCACGCTCCCCGCGTGAAGCAGGACCGAGAGCTCGCCCAGCTCCGCCCCGTGCGCGCCATTGGCTGCTTTAAGCGCTCCGCCGGCCCTGCGGAGGGGAGACAAGCGTGATTGGTGACGATGCGTGCGCGCTGCTATTTCTACGACCGACCTCGACGTGCACGCGCAAACTCGCCATACTATTCTACACTTCAAGTACTTCATCCTAGTTATAACATTTTCTTAGAAATTGTCACAAAATTAACAAATAAACTATCATTTCATCTCTTCGCAATAAGATTTTTTATTACGTTTTTATACGTTTTCTCAACACGGTTTAAATTCAAAAGAGTATAATATTTAGATCATATACACATACATTTCTATACATTTACATTTCTGAATTAATGTTTCACAAAATTAGATTTATCTAATTGCCTTTTCCCATGATGAAAATAAAAAAACGAATTTATATACCTAGTGGTAGAGCCACACTGCAGCTATATAATGGCACTAATGGGTCGATTCGACCGGGGAAGGAATATTATGCTCTCACAGAATATCAGCGTAAAATTTCTTAATACTGCTACTATGTTTCGTATGTTAAGTGTAGCGAACCGGAGACCCTTATTACTGGAAATAAGGCATTCCATCTTAAACCTCAAGGGTGACATTGCATCTGCATTTTGATTCTTAATTGGCGATAAATGTAGATGTACAGACCACAGCATCCTCTTACCATCAGGTGAACTATGTGGTCGTTGGTCACCCATATTCTATTAAAAAATAAGAGTTTAAAAACACATACTATAATATGTTACTATATTAATAAGTGTATTCAGCGTTGTTATGTGAACGTAAACATATTAACTCCGTCATCTGCCACAGAGATGAAGTAAACCACAATATTTTTATGGCATAACAAACCATAATTATTGGTGTCTGTTATGAGTTTTAATAGAAAAAAATAAGTAAATAATCTAATCAGAAGTTTGATACTCAATTTTCTATTGAATATCAAACTTTAAAAAATAAAAACAAAACAATTCTATTTATTGCGTTATCGAACTCTCATAAAAAGGTTAATCTTATTAACGGTGTGAAATACATCATTATTAGGATAATGAAAACTATAATCAGTAATATACGTAGATATACGTAAGATGGATACTTGATAACTTTAATGCCCAAAATTTTCTTGAAAAACAAAGATTTTTTTAAAACATAATAATATCTTTAAATAACAGAAGAGTCATCCAAGTAACATTAAGTATTTGAAAAAGTTGTCATAATTATATCAATTCAATGATAGAACCTCTTCGAGGATCTACTCGAGAGGATAGGAACTCTTTTCCAGTAAAAAGGGTCTCCGGTTCTCTACACTCACCATACGAAACACAATAAAATAGCAGTATTAAACTGCTATTTTACGCTGGTATTCTGTGAGAGCGTGGTCCTTCCCCGGTCGAGCCGATCTATGCGTGCTACAACTATACTACTTCTGCTTCTTTTCAATGTGGGAGTAGTTCTTGGTAGGTGCCACCCAAGCGTGGCAAATCCTATTATGTCTAGCGAAGAACTATTTCTGCCGCCAAGCAGCAGTGTGTACACTGCTGTGTCCCGATCTGAAAGGCTTAGAGAACCAGTAACTATTATTAAAGGCTGTGAAGCATTCCACCTCAGTCCTCAGAGATGACAACAACTCTATAGCCTTCTTCGTTTGAAGTTGAGGAGAGGTATCCTTACACTGCAGCAACCACACCATAAGAGAGGAGCAAACGATCGTGTGGCTCACCTGATATTAAGTACCTTATATTAAGTGCCTACCGCTGCCCGAACTAACACCAGGTGTATTGCAGGTGCGTTGACAGCCTATTAAAAAGGAGTAGGCACTTTTCTTGAAAGTCCCCAAGTCGTATCGGTTCGGAAAGATCTCTGGTGTTAGTCGAATCAAATATAGGGTTATTCCGTCCAAATGATGAAAAGTGCATGGGAGGTGTGGGGCCACGCATTCTAGGATTCGCACCAAATTGGTATGTATTGCCCATAAACGGAGGTGGTCTGGTGGGATTGAATGGCGAAAAGCTCATTAAGGGTCGATTGAACGGAGGTGGCGTAAAAGGTGGGTGGGCTCCATGCGGGGGTACATCCCTGTTAGGGTGAGGTGTGAGTGTCGGACTGTTCTGACCATGGCTTCCACGGGTCGTTCCACAAAGAGGTGGTACGAGAAAGAAAACTCATAGTAAATCGCACAGTGGTGGACCGCACAGAATCCAGATGGTGTGAGTGGTATCGCGAATTCTGTCGCGATGTGCGATAGTGGAATTCGGCGGCTGAAATCAATGCGAACAATTTCTATGAGCACTTCCCGTGGGAAATGCAATAGAACTCTTCGCAATGCCAGTGAATCGAGCCGATCAGAGAGTGTTCGGATTCGGGCCGCTCTTCGCTGAATGCAGTTAAGCAAAAGAACCTGGCACTGAAGTTTAACAACCTAGAGATAAGAACAGTATTCCATATGAGACCGGAATTGTGCTTTGTAAAGTTACGTCTACTGAGCACGCCTGAAATTTTAGAGGCCAATTTAGACTTTCCTTCTAAGTGACCACGAAACTGTACGTCATTTGTTATGCCAACGCTGAGGATTCCGATGCTGGCTGAGGCAGTAAGGGGAGCGCCCTGATATTGAAGAGATACAAAAGGGCTCATTTAAACAGTAAACGCGCATATCTGTGTCTTTTGAGGGTTAACTGAACCAGATTTTGTCGTTCCCAATCCGAGATTATTTTTAATATCATCATCATCATCATTACAGCCTTTCACAAGTCCACTGCTGAATATAGGCCTCCCACAAGGAATGCCACAAAGCACGGTCCTGAGCCACCTGCATCCATCGACTTCCTGCATGTCTTACCAGGTCGTCACTCCATCTCGTGGAGGGTCGCCCTACACTTCGCCTACCGGTACGAGGCTGCCACTCAAGAACCTTTCTTCCCCATCGGTTGTCGGTTCTTCGAGCTATATGGCCGGCCCACTGCCACTTCAGCTTACTAATCCGTTGTGCTATGTCGGTTACTCTAGTTCTACTGCGGATATCCTCATTCCTAAGTTTACCACGCAGAGAAACTCCGAGCATAGCCCTCTCCATAGCTCGCTGAGGGACCTTGAGCTTCCTCATACGGCCAGCAGTGAAGGACCACGTCTCGGTTCCGTAAGTCATCACTGGCAACACGCACTGGTTGTACAATTTCGTTTTAAGATTTTGAGGTATGTCTGACGAGAAGATGTGTCGTAGCTTCCCGAACGCTGCCTAGCCGAGTTGAATCCGTCGATTGACCTCTCGGTCGAAGTTGGACTTACTTAGTCGGACTATTTGTCCCAGGTAAACATACTCGTCAACAAATTCGAGCTTTGTGCTCCCAACAACTACCGGCATAGGTGTGACGTGGACATTAAACATAATCTTTGTTTTGTCCATGTTCATCTTAAGACCTATCCGTTGGGAGACACTATTGAGGTCATTGACCATAGTGCTTGATATAGTCCTTATGGCAGAATAGCTCCTCCAGCGATTCTGCCATAAGGACTATATCGTCGGCAAATCGAAGGTGAGTGATGTACTCGCCCTTGATGTTAATACCGTATCCTTTCCAGTCCAGAAGCTTGAAAACGTCTTCCAATGCAGCGGTGAAGAGTTTCGGGGATATAAGATCACCCTGTTTTACACCTCTCTGCAATTGGATAGGTTTCGTACTCTGGTTCTGTATTCGGATAGCCATCGTAGCTCTACTGTACAAACACTTCAGCACTTCGATATACCAACAGTCAACTTGACCCCGCTGAAGGGACTGCAGCACCGCCCAAATTTCGACGGAATCAAAGGCTTTCTCATAGTCCACATACGCCAGACATAGTGGCAAATTGTACTCTTCGGACTTCTGTACAATGTGCCGAAGGGTATGTATGTGGTCTATGGTGCTAAAGCCCTTTCGGAAACCGGCTTGTTCGGGAGGCTGGAAGTCGTCGCAGACTTGCGCGCGAGACGATTCATAATGACTCTCGAAAACAGCACGTAGACGCAGCTCAGAAGGGAAATCGGTCTGTAGTTCTTCAAGAGAGCGTTGTCACCTTTCTTGAAGAACAAGACCACCGCACTTCTGCTCCACGCCTCTGGTGTAATGCCTCCATGGAGGACGGAATTAAAGTGCTTCTGAAGGACTTCAAGTACCGGTCTTCCACCCGCTTTCATAAGCTCCGCTGTAATTCCATCCTCGCCTGGGGCCTTGCCGTTTTTAAGGTGCTGGAGAGCCATTCTAATCTCGCTCAGACTGAAGTCCGGGATATCTTCGGAATAGTGTCGGATAAGACTCGCTCTTGGATCGTTACTCACACGTACGTGTGGCTCCAACGATGACGTGTACAGCTGCTCATAGAACCGCTCAATCTCACTCAAAATCTCAGGTATCCCGGAAACGATGCTGCCACACTCGGTCTTCAGCTTTGACAGTTGGCTCTTTCTGGCACACAGATCTCTGGCAAAGACTTTGGAGCTCGATCGCTTCTTCAATACAAGCTGTATTGAAGTTGCGTAAGTCCTGCAAATAGCTTTTTAATATAGACTCGACATTATCGAGGGCCGGAACAGACATTAGTTTATTTCGGCCCTCGATTTCGTGATCCCGACTAGTTTGCAACAGTTGTAATGCAGAAGAAATAGGTGATAGCACTCAGCCTTGTGAAATACCAGAATTAATAGACTTGTAGTCGGAGCATGAACCATCTATTTCGATTCAATCTGCAAAAAAACTGAAGTGGAACTGAAGAAGTGCTTTGTGCCAAACCACAAAGAAAATAAAACCATAAAAGCACTTATGTGTATTACTTACTACCGGGTGTCAAGGCGAAACTGGGGTTTGAGGGTCATGTGTGGATTTTGAACGTGGCCATAAAATAGCAGACTCTCTCAAGTAGATCTAGCTTTTGAAATAATTAAGTGTTCCAATTTCAGCGCCCGTCCAATGATCGTAACCTTCCTCTAAATATATACAGTACTAAGTTCAAATCATATTAAAACGAATGTTTCCCGTAACATTTGGCAGTCTTCATCAA